ACGACTAGTCACCTAAGGGGCCTTGTGTGTTTTTATATTCTTATGTGTGTGTCATGAGCTTATGAGGTCCTTATATGAGTAATAATGATGTTTATAGTCAGTGTGTTGAGTTTCATTAAGTTTAGGTTTCAAATGTCCAAGAACGTCCAAGACATATGAAAGTTTGCCCCCGAGACGTTCCTGTGTATCTTGAGTGTGTCTTGCATGTTTGGATGTGTTTTACGTCTTCATTTTTGGGTAAAAATTGCATGGAAGTAATTCAAAATGTTAAGATGTATATTCACATCGGAAAAGTTTGGGTAGGACTTCCCAAGGGCCCCGCAAGAGGCTCTCAAGAAGGACCCAAAGGTTGTCGAGTGGCTAAGTCAAACGACGCCTCGTTAGTTGAATGATGCCCCGTCGATGAGTAGGTGTTGATGGACACTTATTCTGTAGAAGTCTCATCCAAAGAACATACTAAGACCCAAACTATGGAAGCCACAGATGGTCCGTTGATGGGACAACATGGCGTCGATAGTTGGTCGTCGATGCAGGATTCAGTTACTTCCATGCACACTTCCTAATCATGGGGTGCATGGAAAATTCACCCATGTGCTAAACCTACCCTAGGAGGTTAATTTACCTATTTTCGGGTATGTTAGGTTGGTTAAAAACGTGAATATCCCATACCCAATCCTCAATTCAAAATCAAAACCTCCCTCTCCCAAAATATCCTCTCTAGAAACCTCCATTGAAGGTGAAGTTCAAGGTCATCTTTATGGGATTTCCATGGGTTCTTCACCAATTTTTAGTGGATTCTTCACCATCCTTTTCAATGTTTTTAAAGAAGTTCCATGATCAAATCTCTTCTTCTTCAATCTAGCCATTGGTTGTTTCTCAAGTTGACTTCAAAAGCATAATATTAATATATTGATGATTATCTACTGATTTGGATGTGATTTTCAATCCAATTGCATGATGAACCCATGCTCTCTCACAAACTCGATTTTAACATATGTATGGTTTATGATCTTGATCTCATGTATATCAAATTGTGATTCAATTATGTTAATATGCTTATACCTACTGTTGAGTATGTGTATTGATGATGAATTGTTGAGGAATGATCCATGAGGGTCAAGTTTGAAGGTTTTTAACAAGGCTAGTCTATGATGTAGTTATTTGTGATCTTGACGTTAGGATGGTTGTTATGTGACTCGATTATGGTGAATTGTCTTAGCTACTGCCTACATGTGTGATGTGATGATAATTAGGTATAATTGATCCAATATCAATAGATAACAATTGAATTGGTAAGGATTGATTTATGTTCTTCTAACATATAGACTTGATATGATGACGTATATGATGTGATCTATATTCTAGGGTAGATGAAGCATAATTAGCTATGATATTATACATTTTTAGCTACTGCCATAAATGTATATTATTGATAAAATATGGTTGATGATAAAGAATAGGGAAATTGGTTGATGATCTATAACTCTATACTTTCTAGTATATATGTAATGTATTGTATTAGGTTATAGTATGATCTTGTAACGACTTGTACATGATTTATTTCATGATTAAGGTACATTTAGTTACTTCCTTATACATGCATTGTTGATGAAAAAGGTATATTGATTAATGTTGATTAAAAGGTTGATGAATTGGTAAAGTCTACTCTTCTCCTCTACTTTTCTATATTATTGTAGTTTATGAAGCCTTGTATGGCATTGTTTGGTATGGTCCACTTATGGTGGTGGTGTTTATTTTATTATCATTATATATGTGTGTTGACTATGGACTTTAAGACAAATTGATGAATATATGAGTGTGTGGTTATGATGATCACACTATGTGTAACTTGTGCCTAGTCTTCTATTTTAGTTGTTAATCTAGGTTATGTAGCTAGTGTTATAAGCATGTAAATGGTTATGTTAAGATCATGTGTAGGTGTTTCCATTATCTAACATTAGGAGTCTTAAAGTGTAATATGAATTTATCTTGCCTCCTATGCTAAATTGTGTTGGATGGTATATGCTTGGTTGTGCATTGTTGTATTAAGAGGGTGATTGACTCAATGTGTTGTTGATAGTCATTATGTGATCATGTTGACAAATGTACACACACACTCATATATTATGCATGCTTAGAGTCTAATGAAAGGTTGTTCTTAAATTCAATAAATGTCTACTACTATGCATGTAAGGTAAATGTATGTGAATTATGTTATGTATTCCTTAACTAGGATGACTTGTTAGGTGTACTAGCTTGGCAAGGGTATGGGACCGTGTATATGATTGCATTGAGTACCTTGATAGGATAGTTCCTAGGTTTGGTTTCTATGTACATGAAAATGAATGTATGGGCATGTTATGAATATGTCTTATATGCTATAATGTGAAGTATATAGTATGATGAAGTATGATTATACCTAGTGTCTAAATGTGTTTACATGAAAGGATTGTTGATATAGTTTCACTTGTATACTTATGCATCAATGAGATGAAGTATAAACATGTGTGGTTTTAATGCGTTATGTGAAAGGATTTCTCATATATATGTATACACACACACATCAATGATGATCTAGTCAATAGAGGGGCACTTGAAAGGTGTTATCAAGGTACGCTAAACTAGATGGTACTTTACATATGCTATGTCCATCTGAAAGGGTACTCACATGATTTAGGTTAATGAACTCTCATCTATGACCTATGAGCTAATCATTTGTGTAGATGACTCTCCTAAAGACTACATTTCAAATTAATGTTAATAAAGGCTTTTAATAAAAAGGGAACTTAGCTTAGCACCGAGAGAACTTGATAATGAGAGGTGTTGGCTTCCCTTGGAAAAAGATTCACCATTTGGTTCTCATAAGGTGTTGACTTCCCTTGGAGGAACATTCACCTATGGTTCCATATGAGGTGTTGACTTTTCTTGAGGAAGATTCACCCATGGTTTCTCATGAGATGAGGCTCAAATGCTAATGAGCATGTAGAGGGTTATGTATATCTCTTAGTTCCATAACTATGCTTGCCACATAGGATCTAGCAAGTGACTTCGCTAGTATGCTACCATGTGTTAATCTTCTACCTTGGCTAGGTAAGAATACCTTCCATTGGTGCAAGGCTCTACAACACCAAATTCTATGTTTAGCACCCACGGTCTTAGTGTCGGTTAAGGCTATAGTTTCCCTAAAGTGAAATGGACAATGAAAGTAAAGTAAGGACTCTAACTAGAATAACATAAGGATAGTTACTTAATGTAGGTGGGGGTATGGACTTCACATATGCATTGCACAAGTGGCTCTTGAGGGAAGTCCTAAGACGATGTTCTAATATATGTGTCTATGTCTATGTTCCTTATGCATGACTTTGTAGTATTTGTCTACTTGTTGTGATGAAATTCATGGTATGAGCCTATATGAAGTGGTCTTGTTATATATGCATAATATTGGTGTTAATGACTACATGATGAAGGTTTGTTGACATGAATGAAGTTGTCTTCACTTACAATGTTAACTTATGGATTGGATGTTAAGGCTTGTGGTCTCATGATAGGTCTACTAAGTATGTGTGAGGTTATGGGGCTTCACATGTACATTGAACTAGTAGACTTAAATTGGGATTGTGACTAAGGTTTCGTAAGTTTCTATTTGAAGTGACATTAGTATGTGTGCAAAGTGAATAGAGTTCAATGTAATGTCTTATGTTCTTGACCTAAATGTGTCTATGATGTATTATACCTCTATGATGGTATGTGTTGGCTTGTGTAGGTTGTATGTATGGTTTCCTTGTGGACCTAAGGTGATTTATTGCACCAAGTATCACTAGAGGGTTACTTGGGAGGTTAAGGAGTTAAAGGAAAGATGTTCACTGTAAAAGGGAATTACTCACTGTAAAGTAGAAATAACTCACTGTAAAGTGAGCCCAAATGTGGCTTAAATTTTATGTGTGATTTTATATGATGTTTGGCCTTTGAATATGTCTATATGAAGTATGTTAATGATATAAATGCTATTGTATAAAGGTTTTATGAATATTTTCTCAAAAAGGCATGAAGTATGATTTCAAGAAAATGTCCCTTTTAAATGCATGTTTTTGCATGGTTGTCATACTCAGTGCATTCTTGTACTAACTCAATTCTTCTCTACTTTTTCACAACGTGTAGGTTATAGATGCTCAAAAAGGATGTCTCTATTATTTAGGAGCTTGTGATGTGATTACCAAACTCAAGGAAAGGAATCTTTAAGTCCAAGGATCTCCTACATTATGGTTTACTGTAAAGTGTAGTATTATTGTACTTATGTATTATTTTGTAAGGGTCTTGTTCCTAATGTACTGTTATGATATTGAGTGATGGCAAAAAGATACTTGAGTGTAAATATGTACTTACGATATTTTATATATATATATGAAGTAAAGTTTCTAGCATATGATGTGCTATGAAAAGTTTTAAGTTTTTCACTAATTTTCCTATGACAATGCGATGAATGATAACTATGGAATTGTATAAGACCTTCGAGAGGTCAAGTACGCCATGTTACTTCTAGGGGGTGCTCCCCAATCGTGACAGCCTTGGTGATTTCCTCCTCGTTGAGCATTACCTATAAAATGAACAGATTTTGGGTTTGCCCCACATACCTTAGCACTATGATCACCACATCCACATACTTCACACCAAACTTGTGGTTGGTGAACCATATTGACTTTGACTTGTTGTTGTCCTGGTGACATGTTCTTGAAATGAATAGTCATCGTGTTCTATATTGATGCAATCTAAGCTGACAAAGTTCTGACTGCATCAATCTTCAAAACTCTAGTAGTCTTCTGTACGACCAGTTTCACTCCTCTGCCATTCCGCTCAGGGTTTACCTTGTGAAATTCGATTAAGCAATATAAACAACTCCATATGTCTTTTCCAAAGCTTGTCCACCTGCAGCAGAATCATGTAAAATTTTGGTGTTTGGTTCCAACCCCTAAATAAGGGGCTGGACCAACACTTCGTTAGCTTGATGATGATGTGGGCAACTCAATAATAGAGACTCTAACCTATCCCATGCTTGATAAAAAATTTCCTCAACTTTTTGTAGGAAGCTTAATATGTCGCTTCTTAACTTCCCTGTTTTAGTAGATGGGAAGAACTGTATCAAGAATTTTCGATTAAGATCATCCCAAGTTGTTATGGAATTTGCGGGTTCAGAAATTAACCATCTTTTTGCTTCCCCAAGCAGAGAAAAGAGAAATAATGTGAGTCGCACATAGTTAGAGTTCACTCCGCGCTGGAGTGTATGTGTGACTGATCTTGAGGAAGTTCTGTAGATGCACTCGTGGATCCTCGTGAGATAGACGTGTGAACTGCCCATTTGTGTGCAATAATTTCACCATGTTCTACTTCAATTCAAACCTCCCACCCGGTGCGGCCTTCTGAATACTTGAAGTAACATTGGTGGTATGTGGGATTGCCACATCCTTTACTTTCATTTCTGCCATCATCACCGGTAGATCTTGGTATTCCATCTCTTGTGGGTTTTCAAGTTCCCTAACCACACGAGGACCGGAATGGTTTGCCTTCTACGATAATGAACAAATCCCTACGATTCAGATTGAGGCTCTACCAAACTCTAGTCGTTTTCCAGTGCGAGAACCTAATACAACCTGCACAAATGACGAGCGAAGATCTAGTTGTCAACACTTGTAGAAATAATTTAGACACTCAGATATTAGATATCTTTCGATTTAAAAGTCCACAGCAACGGCGCCAAAAACTTGTTGCATCCAAAATCAAACGCAAGTGTAGTGGTCATTTAAGTAGTAAATAGACTCTTTCGAGCCTAATGTTCATACCCAAGGGACTTCAAATCAAAGAATAAAAATTTGCAATGATTATCTAAACTCACTAAAGTATCCATTAGATTGATAAATTTGTTTAAACTACTAATTTAACATTAACAAGAATTAGTTACTATAAGTTAATGATTTCAACAAAGAAAATTCACAAGTTGGAAAGATATCCCAGGGTTTTAGCATAAATTGATTTTCGTTACAATGTAGTTACATCCAAATGTTCAAAGGGTTAATTCATTACGGGTTGGTAAGGTTCATTTTACGAACATGATCTTCAAACCTTTAATCGCCTACCATTATTGACAACCTAACTACTTCATCAAACGGGGTTAGGTATTAACCAATAAAGGTGCACTAAGCATTCGTCTTGCATTTCAACCAAGTGTTTTGTGTAGGTATAATTGCTATCCTAGACAAGAAAATAATGTAAAACTTACCCTAGAATGAACACACCTCTTGCATTCTTCGATCTATCCCTCTATTCATCTTCCGAGTTCAAGAGTGGACACTAAATTTTGGACACTAAATTTATTCTAATGTTGATCAAGCATTAAAATAGTAAAAATAAGAAGACAAGCATAAAGTTTAAAATAACCCTTCTTTTAAAAGAAATAAGTTCACATTAAACCATCAATCATAGCTACAACCCTAGGAAAAGGGGTTTTAGCTACTCATAACATCAAATAACAATATAGAATGTATTATCCAAGATGAGGAAGAAGAGGAAAAATCCTAGAAAATGGCACCAAAATCGCCTTTTTTCCTAGCTCTCGTCTTTTTTTGGAAAGTGTATTGTACAATAAGAGGACACTTAAACTATTTATAGTCTAAAAAAACACGTGGGATGATTTCTGTGTCCACGCGGACCTGTTCCCTCGCACCACTTGGCTCATGGGTGGAATGACCCCCCACGACACAACTCTATCGCGAACTCCCCTGTTATGGGGAATTCCTTCTCTGCATGGAAGAAATGCCTCCGCGATGAGGAGATTCTCCTTTTCCAATGAAATTTCTATCTTCTTGGTTCTTCTTTTCCGCCACTTTTTCTTCTACTTTCTGACTTTTGATCTGGTGCCCAAATTCAACTCGTTTTCCAATGATCTTTTGCCTGAAAAATCTAATCATATTGGTTAGAAGATGCGGAATCAAAACAACTCTAAATACTTAACTTTTCCATCAAAAATGTCCTCAACTCGGCTAAATATATGAGATAAAGTAGTTATTAGGCATATAAGTACGCCTAAGATCATTCATGGTATTCGAGCATTATGAGTATCTAACTATAGAAGTGTTCTCTTTCTAACTTCTTTGTCTCAAATTTTGGGATTTTATTTTGGTGATAAGAAATCCACAAAAATCAAGATCACAAACTGTGGCAATGACGACTTGCTACCAGCAGGTTAATCCAGTGACACAAATGATTGATCTCAGTCATCTTCTCCATTTACATACTTCTGATCTGAGTGGTGTTTCTTTGGTTTCTCTTCAATTGACTATAATAGAAAATTACTCTGTTTGGAGTAGATTTGTATGCATAGATTATTTAGGATGAAACAATATAGGATTCATAGATGGTACATGTAAGAAAGAGAAATTTGCAAAAGAACTTTGGGCTAAAATAGAAAAGGTTTAATGTTGTAGTGTTATCGTGGTTGATGACTTATGTGTCTAATAGTCTACTAAGTGGTTTTATTTATGCATCTAATACATGGGTTTTGTGGGAAGAATTGAAAGAAAGATTTGATAAAATCAATGGTGCAAGAACTTTCAATCTCTACAAATCTGTTTGGAGTAGATTTGTATGCATAGCTTATTTAGGATGAAAAAATATAGGATTCATAGATGGTACATGTAAGAAAGAGAAATATGCAAAAGAACTTTGGGCTAAAATAGAAAAGGTTTAATGTTGTAGTGTTATCATGGTTGATGAATTATGTGTCTAATAGTCTACTAAGTGGTTTTATTAATGCATCTAATACATGGGTTTTGTGGGAAGAATTGAAAGAAATATTTGATAAAATCAATGGTGCAAGAACTTTCAATCTCTACAAAGTAATTACATCTTTAACTTAGGGAACATCATTTGTTTCAATCTATTTTACCAAACTTAAAGGTTTATGGAATGATCTTGAGGCTCTTGTTCCTCTTCTCAGGTGTTACTTTGAAAAATCCAGAGATCTCTTGGTTTATCTGCAAAGACAAAAGTTGTATTAGTTCATAATGGGACTGAATGATACATATTATCATACAAGAAGCCAAATACTCCTAATGACACATTTGACATTTGAAAATCAAGTATATGTCATGATCCTAAATGATGAAGGGCAAAAGGAAATACTAGTTTTTTTGTTGGTCTACTTGGAAATGGACCAAAATTTCACTATGCTTCGTCACAATATGAAGCTTCAATATTGTACTCAAAAAAGCAGGTGTAGGTGTTCAAAGATTTAAAAAGGATTATAATGTGCAATGTGACTTCTGTAAACTGAAGGGTCATGTTAAGAAAAACTGCTACGAGTTAATCGGCTATCAAGTTAAAAAAAATAAAAAGGAAAACACAAGTGGATAAGGAGGATCTTATCATGTTCAGGCTGAGCAAGATCCTACAATTATTCAGCGACAAGAAAGTCTGGTTATAAAAAATGTGACTAGTCTCTATCAGAAACAGGAGTATGATTCAAGGTGTCAGATGGCTGAAGGAATGCAAGTACAACCTAAATCCTATCTGTTTTCTGAAGAGAAATATGACCAAATACTCTAGTTGTTGAACAATAATAATTGTGCTTCAGAAAATGTAATGTGGCAGGATATCTAAATATGCAGGTAAAACCTGTGAAATATGCATAAGAGTGTTTGTCTAGTTTATGATAATAATAAGAACTGGATTCTAGACACTGGAGCAACAAATCACATGGTATATGATGTTCACATGCTAGATAGATCCTCAGTTATTGCAAATGTCAATCCTAAAAAGGTTTATCTTCTTAATGGAGACATCTTGCTTGTTACACATATATGACTTAATTCAATTTCAAGTAGAAGTATACTAAAAGTGTGTTCCTTCTACCACAGTTTGAATACAACTTATTGTCTGTATTTAAAGTCACCCAAGCCACGAGGGAACTAAATTCTGGATTTTTTTTAATTCTGACTTTTGTATTTTTCAAGATCTCTCAAGTTGAAAGGTGATGGAGATTGGTAGACTGAAGTATGAACTCTATCTACTTAATCAAAAACCTAAGCAACCTACTCATGAAGCCAAGGTAGTTGTTAACACTACTCATTCGACTGATAATGAATAAGATTTGAACTTGTGGCATAAGATATTGGGGAATGTGTATACTAATATGCTCAATTAACAACTAAATAGAAAAATAGAAACTATAGCTAGAGTACTACATAAATGTTTTGTATGTCCTAGTGCAAAACAAGCTAGATTTCCTTTTTCAGCTAGTACTATAAAATCTGTAAGTAGTTTTGATATAATTCATTGGGTTTATTTGATACGCTCAAACTTACTTCTCAAATAAGAAGTAAAGCGGTCGTATCAAGTAAAGAACCCAACTAATGAGGTTGGGATCGTTCCCACGAGGAAAATAGTTCAGACTTAACTTTAATCTATTATTACTATTATTTAGTCAATTATTTCCTTAGTAAACAAAAGACAATAAGGTGGGGAGGGGGAGGGTATTTCTAAATTAATAAAGATAACTAACTAAATTAAAGTAAATACTAACAGATTCAAATCTTGGAGTTTAATCAATTAATCAAAGTAACTAGGGTTTAAGTGTTCCCCACGGGTTCCTAACTTGATAATTCTAACTATAACAATTCTTTCCTAGTATCTTGCATGCAAAGTGATAAGTTATGTATTTCTAAATCCTTGGTCCGGCATCTAGAAAATTTCACTCCGCACCTTGGTCCGGCTACGTGTGTCGTTATACTAACCCTTACCTTTACCTCATATTAAGCATTATATTCGATATTTGACTAAGTTATTACCTCGTACCAATCAATACTAGCCTATTAGATAATATACACTAAATCTATGCTGATAATTCTTTTCCTATTATCTACCTCCTTGGTACGGCTAGTAGCATTAAGTCGAGTTCTAACGTTGGTCATCCATTAAAAAGACTTCTAAGCGAAAGATTATCAATACATGCAAGACACTATTCTAGAATTATTATTTTAGTTATATTTTACCTCATTATTCACCCATGGTTCCCACAACCCTAATTATGGAGTTTAGTTACACATAGTCATAATCACA